GGTGGCAGAAGTGCATGGAAGGAAGGACACAGGGAAGAGGTTACTATGGGAGGAACAGGAAGGGGAGCTGTTGCATTGTGGGAAACTGCAGTCAATGTCATGATACAAAGTGCATGTGGACTGCTGTATGGAAAGTGAATTTGTTCTGTAAACTTTCACCCAAATCACAATAAAAATTAAAAAAAAAAGTCAGGAAGAAGAGAAAAAAATCAACAACAGTGGAAAAAAAAAATCCATTAAGTATGAAGAAGGAGCTCTGGTAGCGTAGTGTCTAAGGCACTTAACTGCTAACCAGAAGGCTGGAGGTTCAAACCCACCAGCCACTCCTCAGAAGGAAGGGTGAGCAATCTACTACCTCAGAAACCCAAAGAGGGGTGACTATTAGTCGGAGATGACTCGACAGCACATAACAACAATAACAACAAGTAGGAAGAAAATCAAGAAAGGATGCCATCCGAGGAGCCAAGTAAATAAAGATTCCAAAAACAAGGGAGTGATCACCATGCCAAAAGCTACTGATATATCAGTGAAGGCAAGGACCAATAATTAATCACTGGATTTAGCAACCCCAATATTTTCAATGAGCTTAATAAAATACAATTTTGGGAAAGTAGTGAGACTAAAACTTGGTTGGAGAAAGTTTAAGAGAGGAGAGATTAATTGGAGATGACAACTTTCTAAGAGTTTGCTATAAAGGAGAAATGGAGTAGTAACATAGGGGAGAGGACAGGTGTCAAGAAAAAGTTTTGGGTGTTTTTATTTTTGGTTTTGTTTTGTTTTTTTAAGAGAAATAACAGTGTCATGTTTGTATGATGAACATAGGGCTTGAAATTAAATCACAAAAATTTCTTGCCTTGTCTGCTTTCTAAGTACATTGCTCTATCTGACTATCAAGAGAGGTAAAGCTACAGTTATTAGCTTGATTCATTCATTCAGTGAACTATTCAGTATCTATTATCATACACAAATGTGAGCCCTCGTAGCACAGTGGTTAAAGTGGTTGGCTGCTAACAGAAAGTTCTGAGGTTTGAACCCACCAGCCACTCCTCGGGAGAAAGATGAGACAATCTGCTTTCATAAAGATTTAAAGTCTTGGAAACCCTATGGGCAGTTCTATTCTGTCCTAGGAATCAACTGTACAGCAGCAGCTTGGGTTTGGTATCGTATAAAAAGGAGTGCTGGAGGTGCAATGGCTAAGCACTCAGCTTCTAACCAAAAAGGCTGGAGGTTCAAATCCACCCAGTGACTTCTTGGCAAAAAGCTATGGCAATCTGCTCCCATAAAGATTACAGCCTAAAAACCCTATGGCACAATTCTACTCTGTCACATGGGGTCAGTGAGTTGAAGTAGACTGGAAAGCAACTAGCAACAACATCACATACAAATAATAAAACCAAGTCAGTAGAAACTATTTCTGAATTTTACACAGAAAGTAGGAGCTCTGGTGGTATAGTGCCTAAGGCATTTGACTGCTAACCAGAAGGTTGGTTGTTCAAACCCACCAGACACTCCTCAGAAGGAAGATTGGGCAATCTACTTCTGTAGAGATACTGCCTTGGAACCCAAGGAGGGGTCGCTATGAGTCAGGACTGGCTCAATGGCAAAGCGTTTGGGTTTTTTTGGTTTTATGCAGAAAGTGAGTCCAACTGAGTTTTCAATTTCTGAAAATGTAAAGTTTCTAACTATAAAATTGATTTATTTCTAAAAGCACTCTTTGAAATTAATTACCTTTTCCTACAGCCTTCCCATATAATAGAGAATTAGGTTAAGAAAATATGTCATGGCATGAGCTATTTGTCCAACAATTAGAATGAGCAAATATTCAAAATGCCCCTTCTATAAATTTATGATTACAGCCCATGTTTAATGATCAACTCATTTATGCAACCTAAATATTTTAAAAGATGGTATTAAGCTTTCTGTAAAAGTATCCCTGCATTTAAATTATGAGTTAAGTGTTCCTTTAGATAAGGTTAATCTATTTTCTTTTTACTGGATTGCTCATTTAGGGTTTTTTTTTTAAAAAAAAAAAAAAAGAAAGAAAGAAAGAAAGGGCATCAGATATAAGGGATTCTGAGTAATTAGCCATCTGTTTCCAGGTAATGATCACAGTAGTCTGCACCCTACATTGGTATCATTTAAATCTTAAGTGAGTCATAGGCTTCATTAGCTTCCTCCTTCAGGGACCATAGAATAGTTGTAATCCACAATTGTCAGTATCTTAATAGCATCTTTTTGAGGCAATATTTCTGTGGTTGAGTCTGAGGCTTTAATTGAAAAGACCATTTGTTGAGAGAAAAAAAAAAAAAAAGAAGAAAACGTTTTTCCCAGATTTGTACTTGGAATTTAAATGCCTATACCCATCTCTCTAGAGAAAAGGCAGGTCCATGTATAAGTTAACTGTCTGTTGTTGTTGTTGTTATGTGCCGTCAAGTCAAACCCGACTCATAGCGACCCCTCCTTGGGTTTCCGAGGCAGTATCACTACAGAAGTAGGATTGCCCAACCTTCCTTCCGAGGAGTGGCTGGTGGGTTTGAACCGCCAGCCGTCTGGTTAGCAGGCAAGTGTCTTAGCCACTATGCTACCAGAGCTCTGTCTATTCAATACTATTAAGGGGAAGAAAAAAAACATTGACCCCATTGACATCTGAGAAATTATTTACACCACTATTCCCCTTGCTGGGGGAGTAAGATGAGCAATGAGACCCCACTAATGTGCATTTTATTTTAATAAGTTACTTCTGTTTCAAAATTAATTACTGAGTTATTTATGGCATATATTACAATGACTAAAACTTTATCCTGAATATAAACTCTTTTTAATCCAGATGGAAAATTCCCATTAATATTAGTTATATACATAAACATACCTATACATACACACATATATCATCGTATACAATAAAAGTTACTTATGAACTTTGATATAGCTTATCAAAACACCTTATGTTTACTATCTTGGAATTAATCTTGCAAGTCAGTGCACTGGAAGCTGAAATTACTGAACTCAGCTATTGTTGAAAGATTCTGGAAAATTTAGGAAGCAATACAGCTTCATAAATTTTGAAGACAGAAAAACACCTGTGATTGAATCAAGGCTCTGTCACTTACTGCAAGTAATTCTGAAAAAATGTTCTGAATCTCAGAGCCTCAGTTTTCTCTCCATGAAACAGGTATATACACTTTGAGAAGTTAAGAAGTTTGTCCAAGCCCAAACAGCTAGTAAGTGGTAGAACCTAGATTCACAAGTTTATCAGTCTCCAAATCTTGTCCTTAGTTCCCTAATGAGTACCTGCCCACCTGCCCACTGCCTACCCGAGAGAAGAGCAAAAGGAAATCTGTCAGTGAAAAGTGCTTTCTCAATTGCAAAGTCCTGTATAAATAATTCATAAAACGGGTTTGTGATTTGCCCGTTAATGCCGGAGAATTCTGAAAGAACAATGTATTACACTTCCAGCTCTTTTTCATCTCTTCTTGGAATTCTGCCTTGACCTCAGTTTCACTTAACAAACCTGATGAACAACATTCAAAAACAGAAATCTAAATGCTGCTGTGTGCCACTCAAAAGCAGCTTTCTGCAAGCCTCACAGGTCAGGGTAATACAATCTTGAGCTTTTGCTAGAAATGTGGACAAAATACTTTTGGGGGCTAATTTCTCACACATACCTTTGCAGTTTACTAGGGTACCTGTAGGGAGCTCTGGTAGCATAGTGGCTAAGACACTTGCCTGCTAACCAGACGGCTGGCGGTTCAAACACAACAGCCACTCCTCGGAAGGAAGATTGAGCAATCCTACTTCCGTAGTGATACTGCCTCGGAAACCCAAGGAGGGGTCGCTATGAGTCGGGCCGACTCGACGGCACATAACAACCACCACAGGGTACCCGTAAAACTGTTACATAAATGTCTGCATTGAAGAAGCATAAAATACTGCTTTCGAGATCACTCCTATATTGAGCTCCAGTTCCAAGCACTAACGCAAATATTCAAATGTAATTAACGCAAATTTCTGTCCCTTTTCAAGGGTATAATCCTCGGAAGGAAGGCTGGGCAATCTACTTCCGTAGTGATGCCGCCTCGGAAACCCAAGGAGGGGTCTTTATGATCCGGGTCCGAGTCGATAGCCCATAACAACAACAACAATGTCATATTTAGAGCTGATTTCCCATACGAGAATTGTGTTAAATTAGTCCCATGTAGTTTTAAATATGATTCTCTAAGCTAAGCTAGGAGGGAGCTCTGGTAGCATAGTGGTTAAGGCACTTGACTACTAACCAGACGGCTGGCGGTTCAAACCCACTAGCCACTCCTCGGAAGGAAGGTTGGGCAATCCTACTTCCGTAGTGATACTGCCTCGGAAACCCAAGGAGGGGTCGCTACGAGTCAGGTCTGACTCGACGGCACATAACAACAACAACAAGCTAAGCTATGCACACTTGGAATAATAAGCTTCTTGGAAATAACACCAAAGGGTTTCTAGTATCGGTATTGGAAATGGCAGATGAGGGTAACGTGGGCCTCGTTTGATATCATCTGAAAAGCACTTTGATTTATTTCTTTTCTTTTCCGTTCTGTTATACATAGGGTGTCTATGAGTCTGAGTCGACTGGACTGCACCTAACAACAACATTCTTACCCTTGCGGAAGAAGCTGGAGAGTAAAGTCCAGATAGGGGAAGGTGGTGATTGCCCATGCCCTGCTAAGCTGATTCCAGGCCTCTGAGAGCAAATGCATACACTTGAGAAAATCGCCCCTCGTTTCCCAGGGACGAGATCTCGGGACATGAAGATGTGACTTTCTCTCTCTGGTCCTAGGACTTACCTTTTTACCTTTCCACTAACGTCCCACTCACTTCCCCCGGGGACGCTTCCAACGGATCCACCCGCTTCCAATCTCGGGCTCAAGGAAGCACCGTCAGAGCTTCCCCGACCACAAGTGAAGCAGGCGCGCGCGTCCGAGAGGCAGGAAGAGCGAACGAAGGCTGTGCACCTGGCCACCTACCTCCGACTGTGGGATCTCAAAAGCGCCCGCGATCTTGGCGTACAGTTCCTGGATGCTGGAGAAATCTTCCACTCTGCCGGTGGCGCTGCCATGCGCCAGCTGCGTGTGGAAAACCAGCCTGCGTCTGGGAACCTGGTCCAGAAGGCTCCCACCGCCCGCTGCCGGCTGTTCGCTATCCACCAACCGAGCAGTCTCCTTGGCTTTGGCTTTTTTCTTTCCCGGTAGCCCCAGGGGCATCTTGCCTGTGCTGCAGAAAGCCTCCTTCGCCCAGCGCAACGGACTTTGCGCTCCTGCGCCGGCGCCTCTGCGCAGGTAAAGGCCGCTGGCCGCCGGCCGCCGGCCGCCGCCCGGCCAATAGCAGAGGCGCTTCCGCTTGGCAGTGCCAGTTGGGGGCCTCTGCCCCACCCGGAGCAGCCACCTGCCCTCCCTTGGGTGCGTCTGAAGCGAAGTAAAGGTAGGCACAGTCTCGTACCTCTTTTCATTTAAAAATGTTTACATTTCCGTAAAGGCCTAGGGATGCTGTAGCTACAAAACACAAGTCTTAGAAAACAAGCAGGCTGACCTTTCTGGTGCTTTTCCGAGGCACTCACGATTCAGCCAGCGACCGGTCAGTAGGTCTAGGCCACTGGAGATAGGGATTTCAGTCGAAGTCAGCCTTCATCTGCTTTCTTTGCGCCTTACATTCCATAGGGCAGAATTGGAAAGAAAAGTCACATAATCTTGAGATTGGTGACCCATTAAATTCATGGTCAGCACCCTCAGATGCACCCTAAACACCTCTCAGTAACCCTCCCCTCCATCAACCTTTACAACTTTTTCTCCTAAACATTTTCCCAGAGTCCTTTGCCCCACCTCCATGCTTCTCTGTCTCTCCAAAGAACTCTGCAGAGAAAATTGAGGCCATCAAGTGTTAATTATGAGTTCCTTAATTCTTAACTCGTTGTTTGTAACTTACAGTAGCTCTGGTGGTGCAGTGGTCAAGACATTGGATGGCTATCCAAAAGGTCGGCGTTTGGAACCTACCAGCCACTCTGCCGGAGAAAGATGAGGCGGTGTGGTTTCTGAAGATTTACAGCCTTGGAAACCCTGGAGGGCAGTTCTACTCTGTCCCACAGGGTTGCCATAAGACGAAATCCATTCCATGGCAGTGGTTTTTGGGTTTTAGGTTTTGTCTTTAACACCACTCACCTCCTTCTTTTAAACTCCCAAGAAGTCACTTTTTTTTCCCACACTTGATCTGATCTCCTTCCACCCTCTTCAAAGATCTCCATTTTTAAAACAACTTTTTGACTCTTGTCTTCTTCCTTTCCGCATGGTGCTTACTCAGGGATCCACAAATTCAGATCTCTAACTTTGACTCCTCGCAGTTCTCTCTGGCTACATTTTCACAGCAAGGCATTTGACTGCTAACCAGAAGGTTGGCAGTTCAAACCCACCAGCCACTCTGCAGAAAGAAGACTGGGCAATCTACTTCCCTAAAGATTTACCGCCTCAGAAACCCAGTGGGGGTTGCTATGAGTCAGAATGGACTCTATAGCAGTGAGTTTGGTTAGATTGGTAGAGTGAATCTTAGATTCAACAGTGATCACACTTTTTCTCCACACCACTGAAGTTGCTCTGTTTAAGGTCGTCACTTTTTAATCACCAAATGTAATCACCTCTTTTCAGTCATTGTCTTACGTGACTTTTAACAGCATCTAACTGTGTTGATCATTTCATTCCTCTTAGATATTTTCTCTTTCGGCTTCCTTTCTTCCCACTCCACCCCCTTGCTAACTGCTTCTCTAGGAACTGTATTCCTCATGGCTATTTCCCCTTGCCTGTCTTCTTACTCTATATGCTGTTCCTGAATGACCACAATTACTCTTCTGGATTCAAAAGGTGTTGTTGACTACTAAATTTATATCCCCAGTTCAGTTTACCAGAAAGAGATTGTACAAAGCAGAATGCATCATATCCTCTAAACTTTTTTCTTTAAATTTTATTGTGACTTGGGTGAAAGTTTACAGAACAAATTCTTCTTCTATACAGCAGTTTACATACACTCTGTCTCATGACACTGACTGTAATCTCCCACAATGCAAAAGCTCTCCTCCCACTTACTCCCCATAGCCATGTCTTCCCTCTGTCCTTTCCTCCCATGCACCTGTCCGCGCCCCCCCCCCAGTTGTCTCCCTGTGGATATACAGCCCTTCTATTCTCCCATGATTGATCTCACCAAGGAGTATATCTGCCTAATGTAAATGTTCAGCTCATATGCCTGTCTTTTGTTTGGCTGAAAGCCACAGGAGTGGGTTCAATTCCAGACCTGAAGGGCAGCTAGGGTCTATAGTTTCTGGGATTCCACCAGGCTCTATCAGACCAGCAAACCTGGTCCCTTTTTATTATTATTATTATTTTATTATTTTGAGTTTTGTTCCACATTGTTCTCCCACACTATCCAGGATCTCCTACATAGATTCCCCTCTGAGTGGTTGACAGTGGTAACCAGGCACCATCTAGTTCTTCTGGTCTCATAGTCATATAGGCTGAGGATCACATGGTATACCAGTTACTTGGACTAATTGTTTCCAGGTGCCTTTGATTTTCTCACTCTTCTTTGCTTCAGATGAGGGGAGACCAATAGTTGCATCTTAGATGGCTGCTCTAAAGCTTTTAAGACCCCAGTCACTATTCACCAAAGTAGGCTGTAGAACAAGATTTTTATGTACTATATTGTGCCAGTTGAGCATGATGTCCCTGAGAGTATGGTCCCAAGTCCATAGGCCCAGTGATTCTCTCTCTCAAGGTGTGTGTTTGTCTCTGAGATGTTACTCCAACTCTGTCTTCTGTTGCTTCTGTAATGTTTGTGGCTAATTTTGTAGCACAAGTGCATATGTAAGATTATCTTCAGCCAAATCTACTCTTGGTCTAGGGTATATTCCTGTTTGCCTACCCTAACCTGATCTTCTCACCTATCTATGCATTTATCTGTAGCCTGGTGTTTGATGTTAGAGGTAATGCCGTATTGTGCACGTACCAGTATTTGCCTCTGTTGTCTATATCTTATGTGCATGTTTCAGTGTCCTTCCTTTCCCCAGTGTCATCATGCTGGTCACAGACTCTTTCCATATCATCCCTCCCCTCACCCAAATCAACATGTGACCCCCCAACTAGTCCAAAATTTTCCCTCCTCTCCCTCCCATCCCCGGTAACCAATAAAGTTAATTTTCTTACTTGAGTAAATCTTTCTTTGACGTTTTACAATAGTGGGCTTATAAAATATTTGTCCTTCTGTGATTGACTTATTTCACTCAGCATAATGTCCTCCAAATTCATCCATGTTGTGAGATGATTCATGTATTCTTCACTATTCTTTAATGTTGCATAATCATAGTGTTCCAACAACAACAACAACAAAATTTAAAAAAAAAAAAAAATGCTAAGGACAAATCTAAGGTTAGATTGAGAAAACATAATGGTGAAAACTGAAATAGAAATGCAAGCTATTTGAACAAATTTCAATAATTATGTTTAATAATATATAGAATTAAATTAATTTCCAAGATTTTTAGATAATTTATTGATATCAAATTGTGTTAATAGGTATTCATTGTCATTGAAGTTTATAAGCTCCTACTTTTCATGCCACAGAAAAAAGATATATATATTTAGGTCTGGTAATGAGTGTGTTCATTTTTGTCACTTAAAAAGTTGTACTATAAGAGATATAAAGACAAGAATTTTAAAAATTTATTAAAAGGGAATTTTATAGTCAAAATTCTTATTTACTGCAGCTAAAAGTTTGGTAGGTTAATTTATGAGATTTTTTAATGTGCTTTAATTTCAAATAAGCAAAGAATTGAGTTCTTCATTGTCAACAAAGTTTTTCTTTGATTACTAGATTGGAAAGTTAATTTTAATTCTTTGTTTAATCTGCCACAAAGACAAGGGTTCAGCAGAATAAATTCCTGAATAGAAAACCAAGCTGTCATAAAACCTGAAGTTTTTGTCTTTAAGATCTTTGGTTAAATAACTCAAGCATTGTTTCTCAATGACCTATTATAAACTCCTGACAACTTTGAAACTTTGTGGCACACCACCTTAAAAACTAAATTGAAAGTTTTAGCACCGCCTGTAAAAGCAAAAGGGAAAGGGAAATAACTGGTAGTACATTTTTTTAAGAGGGAAAAAGAAAGTAGTTTTGTCTTAAAAGTAGAATATCTAGTTATGCTTTAATATGAAAGATAATAAAAGCCGAACTTGAGAGTATGTAGTAAGTTATAGAAGGCATGAGCGAAAATGAACTTTATTTGCCTTGGTTTTTAATACCTGCAAATAACGAATTTGAAAAGAAACAATGAAATGTTAAGAAAATGAGAGTAAAAATAAAAAAGACAAAAATGAGATTTGAAACAAAAGAGATAAGTATGTAAATAACTGAAAGATTGTTGTTGTTGTTGTTGTTATGTGCCGTCGAGTCGGCCCCGACTCATTGCGACCCCTCCTTGGGTTTCCGAGGCAGTATCACTACGGAAGTAGGATTGCCCAACCTTCCTTCCGAGGAGTGGCTGGTGGATTAGATACCTAGAAACAAGATCTGTGTAAGTGAAGAAAAGAAGGTCTGTGTAAGTAAAATATAGCTAAAGTAAGAGTTAAAGAAAAAAGTTAAAGAATTAAGAAAAGACCTATGAAAGTGCTGGGATCATAGTCAGAAGACAGTGGAATGCACTATAAAATCTAAGGAAAATTTAAAATGAAAATATTTAATAATATATGAAAATCAGGACTCAGATTCTGCCTTAGAAAATGAAAGAAATTACAATATGAAAGGTTAATTAGGTTAACTTTGCTACAGTAGCTTCAGATTGTTTATAACATTGAACTCAGAGTGACTATGAGCAATGTGATTGCTAGAGAAAAACAGACATAGAAATAGGAGGTGATATATCTTAAATACTTTTTTTAATGCATTGTCCTATTCTGTTATGCCAAAATATGGACATATTTTAAGCTTTCTTGTTGATGCTTGTACATCCTTAGAGAAACATGTTCATACATTACAGACTCTAGATGCCAAATTATTCTTTTAGCTGCCCCTATTATATAAATTTCTACACCTGAACACTTTGGTCAGACAGCAGAAACAAGAAAATATCTTTGAATGCCCAAATAGCCAAAAGCAGGTCATCTGAAGTAGATCGCTGATCCCAAGATCATAGAACAAGATTCCATGGAACCTCCTGAAAAGTATAGAC